TTTTACCCTATCTGAATACTGTAGGATTTTGTCGAACAGGTCTAATTTCCTTTGCGACTGTTCGTTATAGACACGAAAGGCATTTTCTTTAGTCAATTCGTCTTGGCTAGCATAGACTAATATTTCGTCATGCACGAGTTCAAAGCGATCCCATTGTCGGTCAAACATTACACTTAGTTCCTTTACCATTTTAATATTACTGTTATCAGTTAAAAGTGCACTTATCTTATTAGCCAAGTACGTCAAATGTCCTACATGACCGCTTCTTGAATTCTTCAATTTTATTAACTTCTCTGCGACCAGTTCTTCCGAGTTTAAACGCGTGTTCTGTCTTGTTTCCCGTCTTGGCCTGTCTGGCGGACTAATTCCATCGCCATTTTCCTCCAGTCGAGAAACCCGGCCATTTAATCCTCGTTCCCCAAGCATCAACACATCATTTTCGGCTGTCTCTGAAGCCATTTGAACTTCAGCAATATTTCTAAAGCCTTACGCACTTAGAATCTAACGTTCTATCCGGTTCGAAGGACCATAAATGTAGACACCGATCTGATAAACCTGGGTTTCTTTTAATTATAAACACTTGTACTCACAAGAATCACAAAATCACACTAAAAATCTAGCTATTTACACTTTTATATAGCCGGCCACACTCTTACAATTTATTTACATATTAATTGTACCAATCGTCACGCATGACGCATCTACATATATATATATATATATATATATATATATATATATATATATATATATATATATATATATATATATATATATATAGAGGATATTTCACGGTGGCACGGAAATATGACTTTTATTTTCGAGTGATATTGTTTTCAACACGAGAAAATAAAAGTCATATTTCCAAAGGCACCGTGAAATGTTCTTTTTATTATATGGATAAAAGTTGAAGCAAAAACAACAAAACGTATGACTTTATTAGTTTATTCAAGTTTTGTTTTTTGTTTTGTAGCTCACCGTACGGCAACAATGTTTATGTCTCTCCACTTGCTAATCGAGGCTAAATAGTCGCTGAAGATCGCCAAATAGGACTAATTAGTCTTCCTTTTTGTGTTTTCATTTTCTTCAGAAAACCTTGCCAAATCATGCAGCGTCGAAAACATCAACAAAATGTCGAGAAGTTGTCATATTGTATATTCAAAACAGAAACGGCAAAATGGCGGGAATTAGCGTGGGTCCCGCGCGAGACGTTCCCGCGTAAGATATGATTTCATATTTCACTATAGTGAAATACGGAAAATATCAGTGGCGTATTTTACGGTATTTTACTCATATCCATATAATAAATATGTATATGTATATGTATATTATCGCCCGGTGGGCGATAATGACGTCATTTCGTTCCTGGATACGGAAGTTGTTGTCAGACCATGCGAAGACGTGGTGGTGGCTGTACACAGAAAAGCTACACATACGGACAAATATTTATCATTCGACTCACACAATGTTAAGTTAAAACGTTGCTTGATCGAGCTGATAAAATTCCGAATACTATCCAAGGGAAAAAAGCTGAGAAACAAAATGTTCGAAAGGCCTTAAGGTGGCTCCCTAGGGTTTTATTTCCGGGGGTTACGTTCTTCGTATATATGTAAACTAAAACTCGTGTGACTTCAAAATACGAACGAACGTTGTGTTTTATATGGAACTCTTTTTTGAAACAAAAGTGTTATTTTGCTTTAGTTGAAAGCATAAAAGAGTTCTAAAAGCCAAAACGATACTTGGATGTGATGTTTCAAAGAAGATAATGTAAACTTGTTTTTTTTTCAAGCGGTATTCTGGATGTTTTTTGAACCGCAGTACGCGAGGTTCGATCGCGAACATTGGGATATGATATAAAGTTTCCTCAAGAATTTGCAGCGTTTTCTCCACAATCTAGCAGCACTTATGACAATAAATATGACTTAAATAATTTGAGCACTCTACCGGTGGAATGAGCAGGGACGAAATTCCAAACATACCGCTATAAAAACTGAAATTTGAACGGGCATTTTGCGAAAACGTCCGACGATAGTACTAACTCGCACGGGACGAATTTTGACAAACACTTTTCAAACTAGAGGGCACTCAGAGACTGCATACCTCCGCCTACGCGCAAAATATTGAAGTAATCTATTGTTATTAGAATTTGAATGGCTGGTGCATATATTATGCACGTCCTAATTACGCATTCAGTATAAAGTTTTATTTAATTGACCGGGAAAATCAAGACAAACTTTTGTTATTTCTCATTCAATTTTTAACCAAATTCAACCAAATTTTAATCAGTTCTTCCTTAGCCGATGGGAAATGCACTCACAAAATTTCGTACGGATATGTTTGGTATTTCTTGAGTTATCGTGCTCACATACAAACACACACACACACACACACACACACACACATACACACACACATACAAACCCAGATGATTACATAACCTCCTGGCGGAGGTAATTAATACCAAGAAGTCATAACCAGTAATTACCTAAATATCTTTGCCATTTTTACATGTATAATCCACGCTTAGTTGACCATTAACCGACACAGTTATAAACAGTATATTGAACATAATTTAACAATTTATATTTTGTGATTTCAAAAAAGTCATGCCTTGTTGTTTATGCAGAATGCATGTACACGTCAGTTGGGATATTAAATTGTTCGCGTAAAAATCTAGTAAAAATTGCCAAAATTAAACCCAACACAAACTTTGCACATTTTTAAATATCGGTACAACAAGTGCAATATCCTTTTTTCTTAAAATTAAATCGAAGGGAAATTTTTAATATTGATTTTTGACGTTTTTTAAATTTTCTAAGAAATGTATCGATTTAATATTTTTAAATTGATGGGAAAAAATCATTGTACAAGTATTATCTTTTATGCAAAGTTTTAAAAATTTAAAATGACCTGAAAAAGACAAATTTTGAGCTTTATTCTAAGCATGCTGTTGCGATGACAACATATTTTTAACACAAAAGTAGCAATTTACAATGTTCAGGAGAACATTGTCAATGTGTCCAATAAATTTCGTTTTCATGTCATGTAAAGTAAAGAAACTGGAGTCTCCTGAATATTATAGTGTAGTAAATTAAAACATCCTAGGGAGCCACCTTAAGTGCAAATGGTTACACATCTGCTTTTATAAACAGTGTTGCAAGTAAACCCGAAAGTTCGAACAAACCATACATACATACATACATACATACATACTACATACATATATATATATATACATACATACATACATACATACATACATACATACATACATACATACATACATACATACATACATACATACATACATATATATATATATATATTGCGCACGCTCACTGCTTGCAGTTTGAGCGCTCTGGCATGGTTTTGATGTCCCACAATCGTGAGGCATCAAAGGTAACTATAAATAAGAGTTACTTTCATCCTGCTCATCAGCACTACACTGATGAGGCCCATTAGGCCGAAACGGTACCGTCTGTAGTTAGATATCGCTCTATGGCCTTCAGGTCATATTGAGCGCTCTACAGGATGAGCCATGCCGCTTACGCATTGCGCACGCTCACTGCTTGCAGTTTGAGCGCTCTGGCATGGTTTTGATGTCCCACAATCGTGAGGCATCAAAGGTAACTATAAATAAGAGTTACTTTCATCCTGCTCATCAGCACTACACCGATGAGGCCCATTAGGCCGAAACGGTACCGTCTGTAGTTATATATATATATATATATATATATATATATATATATATATATATATATATATATATATATATATATATATTCATATATATATATATATATATATATATATATATATATATATATATATATATATATATAATTACTATTCTTACTTAAAATGTTTTTTGTCTCTACTCCGACTTTCACGCATCACTGCGATCATCAGGAGACAATGTCTCCTGATGATCGCAGTGATGCGTGAAAGTCGGAGTAGAGACAAAAAACATTTTAAGTAAGAATAGTAATTACATTCGCTCTACAAAATTTTATGTATTGAGCACTCTCTTCACTATACGTTACAAAACTTGTGATATATATATATATATATATATATATATATATATATACCGGGTGTCCCAAAAAAAAGTACTCCGGTTTGATTCGTAATAACTTCTAAACAAGTAAAGCTTTTAAAGCGAAATAACTTGCATCAAATAGAGGAAGGATTAACTTAGCTTTTGATATACTACAGTTGTATTTCACTTAAAAATTAATGGAGATATTAATATTTAAAATCGGCAGCATATTTCTGGATGTGTCTGAAATATGCAAAAAACGGCGTACCAAATATGAATCAAGATTTGCCCGACTGAAACATGCACTATTACCAGTAAATAAATGACACTTGACTAATTGTTTATTATGAAACAAAGTGTTATTATCTACAAAATACAAGCAATATTTATTCGTCCGAAATCCACGTGTGTTCCTATAGCACGAATACGTTTCCTTATTTCATGAGACCACTGCATCGCGAAGGATCGTCATGGATCGTTCGTAGTTCTGAATTACGGCATGCTGTCACAATGGAATTGTGAAGCTCTTCTAACTTCTGCAACGTTCTGAAATCTTGTTAAGAACTCTTTTGCCTTTTCTTAATTTTGGCAAATTCAGAATAAAATGAGAATGAAACACAATCAAACTGTTACGGCCGTTTAGCGATTCCCGTTTTCGTTATACTGTACACACTTTAAAATTGGCTTGTTCCTCACGCGTCTCTTACTAATATTTATTCGTTGAACGTTTTCGTATTACAGATAAGAAACGGTAGAAAACGTACCGAACTATTTAAATTGTTCAAGGTTCATTAATTATTAGCTAATGATCGAGTCATTGCCACAACATCTGGCTCCCCTAAGAGGGTTCGATGACACTCTTAAACATATGCACACAAATAAAGTCTTGAGAATTAATAAACACAACACTGTTAATGTTTCTAGTAACATAGAATGTTAGTTAATTTCTTCTATAATGGCTCCTCGATGGGGATTTCCCCGGTCTTACGAGTTTTCCAGTAAAAGAACTAGTTTCACAATTGGACGTTCGAGGGTTGACGTAGCAGTCTTCACTTTTACGGAGCGAACAGCACCCACTGAGTCTGGAGTAATGTCAATAACACGAGCAAGTGGCCACAAGTTTCTTGACGTTCTCTCGTCGACTACTAGGACTATATCTCCGATTTCAAAACTGCGCTGGGGACGGTTCCATTTCTTTCTCATCTGAAGTGTATTCAGGTATTCCCTTTTCCATCGAGTGCAGAAGATTTCAACCAGATACTGGACTCGCTTCCATCGCCTACGAAGGTAGAGGTCGGCGCGCTGGAAGTCTCCAGGAGGTGGCATAACTATCTTTGATTTCATCGTCAAAATGTTATTTGGTGAAATTGGACTCTGTAAATCGGTAGGATCGCTGGAAGGGAATGTCAGTGGTCTACTGTTGACAATACACTCGGCTTCTGTTAACAATGTTCGGAAAGATTCATCATTAAGAACATGACCAAACTCTTTCATTAACGATGTAAGGATTGTACGCACTGTACGAATCTGGCGTTCCCATACACCACCCATGTGTGATGCTGCTGGGGGGTTTGGTTTCCATCTGACCAGCCAATCAGCGTCGGAATAACGGCAGAGATACTCGTTTATCTTCGCGTCGTCCATTTCTTTGAGAGCGTCTTTAAGCTCTTTCGCAGCTCCTATTAGGTTGGTACCTCGGTCTGATCTTATTTCTCTCACTGGACCACGTCGAGCTATAAAACGTCTGAGTGCATTCAGGAACCAGTCGGTTTCCAAGGAGTTGTCTGATTCTAGGTGAATTGCTCTACTGTTTAAGCATGTGAATAGCACACCATAGCGTTTTAATTCTTTCCGACCATCCTTGATAAGACAGGGTCCAAAAAGATCAACTCCACAGTATGTCAATGGTGCTGCGGAAGTAAGTCTGTCCTTGGGCAAATCAGCCATCTTCTGTTTGGCGGTTCTGGCACGAAATTTTCTGCAATCTACGCATCTTGATATGTAATTTCTGACTCTGGAATTGGCGTTTATGATCCAATATCTGCCTTTTAAATGGTTGAGAGTAATTCCTCTTCCGCCGTGGGCAGCGTTCTCATGGTTGTGGCGAATAATCAGCTCTGCAACGTGACCATTTTTCGGCAATATGACGGGATGCTTCATTTCTGTCGTTATCTCGTCACACCTACGTAATCTTCCTCCAACACGCAGTAGACCATCGGAGCCAAGGAAAGGATCCAGGCGATACAATGAGCTTGACTTTCTGAGTTTGGTCGTTTTTTGCTTAGTAAGACTTCTATTGTCGACTCTTTTCAGCGCACTAACTTCGTCAGGAAAGGATTCTGCTTGGATAATCTTCAGAATTGTAACTTCTGCCTTTTCCAATTCTTCGACCATGATAGGTTTGGGGGTCATACCTCGCGTGGAACTATCACCAAGATTCCGTCCGTTGCGATCTCGTCTTGGCTTCATGCGTAACAACCATGCTATAGCTTTCTTTAGTCGATACCATTGAGAGAAACGAGAGAAGTATTCCAGAATCTCATTGTGTTGACCAGATACGATGGTATTAGCAGATATTACGGCGACTTCTGGATCGTCAAGTGTATTCACGCTTACATCAACAGGTCGTTTAGGCTATTCATCCGTTGCTTTCCACAGGAATGATGGTCCGTTAATCCACCGCTTGTTCTCAAAGAAGCGTGACATCTTTAAACCACGAAACGCATCATCAGCAGGATTCAAGGCTGAGTCAACGTAACATTACACCCAAACGATTAACACCCAAAATTTTCCTTGCATTGCCTTGCAAATCGCCCTCACTAAACAGGACGTACATTTGGTGCTCTGTATACTCTTAAATTTTTTGTTAATAAGTATTGTTACGGCAATAAAATGTCTAAAGCAATAACACAGAATCGAAACGAATCAGAATTGAACGGTAAACGAGACGAAATTAGCAGATCTACAGAAGAATTAAACAGCATAGAGGGAGATCTAAACCTAACTGAATCCGAATTCAACCAGAACAATTCGCTTGTTAATCTCACGAAGCCATCAAGTGATAGCGAACTAATTGAGAG